TACCTGTGAGATGTACTCTGAGAAGGGTAGCCCATTGGTCGGCAGGCCAGCTAAGTTGATTAGCAAGGGTCTCAAAGGTGGTAAAAAATACGTCGACCTCTGTCTCTACGAATGGTGGCATTAACTTACTTGCATGGGAGATATTGAAACTTACTGGAAGACTGGCGGTAGCTTGCTGGCGTTGAGTGAGGTGTGTAGTTTCCAACGCGAATTCTTGTTGACGACATTCCATAGCCAGAGCTGCTTGTTGTTTGTCATGCTCGCGTTGCATCTCCAGGTAACGATGTTTTGCTTCAAGCTGTACTCGCTCACGCTCACGGAGTATTGCAATCTCACGTTCTTGTTCTTCTTTCCTCAAGGCGACTTCTCGTTCTTTTATTTGTAGGGCTTCTTTAGAGCTTCTTTTTGTTTCGTTGTTCGAGGGCTTCCCTTTGCTGCTCTCGCTCGATCTTGGCAAGTTCTAGTTTGAGTTTCATTGCTGCCAAATCAGGTTTATCTGCAATAGAGTAAGTTTCGTGAGTTTCAGAGTCAATCTTACCTTCCTCTAAGAGATGATCCAGTAACAGGTTATGCAGTTCATTTTTGTTGGCTCCATGGGGAACATCTAGTTGATACTCATGTGCAAGAGTTTGTAATTCGGTCCTCTTGGCACGACTTAAGTTCCCTATTTCACCTGCTGGATCTGCACGGAAAGCTTGGAGACGAAACATGGTGAAATTAGCAAATAAATGTACAACGAATATACTGTTGTGATATAGTGAATGTCAGAAACAGGACAACGTGGCAACTGGTACCTATCCTGTGGAATCGTTAACAATTAATGTTAATTTCAAGATGGTAAATGATTAATAAATCAAGATCGCAGGAAATCTTGTACCCGGTACTCAATGTAAGAGGATAAGGGCAAGAAAATCCTACTAAGTAAGCGAAACTGAGTTTCTAAAACAAATGAAACATTTAATTGCCTCAAAAGTGAATTAGGTAGTCCAAGAATGTAGGCATACCTTGCCGAGTCTCTATAGGACATAAGCAAGTTTTTCCCACTGAAATGAAATATGATACTTACAGAATTAGCGAACTTTTGTGCTCTGAAAAAAGAAAGCTAATTCCCTACCTAAGTAAATATCATCATCTCTGACCGACGTGTAGGGGTGCGAGGTGTCAACTGGTGACGAGAACTGCTGCTGAGGTCCCAATTCAGCAACAAAGTTCGTGCTAGAGGAACTATGGCCCTCTTTATCCTCCTACAGTCGGATTGCAGAAGATTAGGTGCTCTTGACCCGGGGACAGACCACAGTACCAGGGTACCAATATGATGATCTGCCGAAAATATGAGAAATATCCTAGGGACAAAAGATGGTAAACACGAGTAATAACACGGAGGGAGAGATGACCAATTAAGAGAATGACTGAGGCCTACAGTCACCACGTAATCCAAAGTTGTCTCACACTCACCATATGCTACTCTCGGAATGCACAATACACACAGCACCATATGAAAATAAAATTGAATATTGAAAATAGTGAAAAGCAACTGTACCAAAGCCAAGTACGCTTACCACAAATTTACGTTCTGGTACTAGTACCTGAGTGAAGCTCCTTGGACAGGCCCCCATGAAATGTGACGGTAAAGTGTTGGAGTGTTGATGTTCGGCAGTCCTCCAATGGCAGGTGTCAATGCCTTGTCACACTTACAGAAAAAAAAGAGACTGCTTGCCTGTTTGTCTGTGGTAAGGTAATGGGAAGACACGCAAAACACAAAATATAAACAATGAAATTTTAATTACTTTAGAAAACAAGATATGAACAAAGACAATCCCTTGGCTTACGTAAAATTCAAAACAAGTCAACAAACAAAACAACATGAATAATTAATAGATGTGAAATTTTACTCTAAAATAAAATAAAGTGCAAGACAATAATAATAATAATCAGGTGCTGAGAATATTGGCTAGAGCTGCCACCTCCCTTAGTACACGACAGCCAGGGCTTAGTATACCAGAGAGAGATGTCAACTTCTAAGAGCACAGAGATATTCTGAGGAGGACGGCGTGAGCTGGCCCAGACGTCGACTCAGGTAGAGGGCGTGAGTGCAGGTGCAGGTGTGCTGTCGGCGATACACCAGCCAATCAGGAGCAGGCAGGCGGAGAATGGGTAGTTTGCTCGTTGACGACGGGTGGAGAGCCGGCGTGTCGGGTGGTGCAAGGTACGCTTTGCTTCCTGGGCAAAACGTTTTGTGATACTGGTGGACGTATCTTTAATGTAGCATCTTGTACTTGTAGAATGACGTAAATGATATAGGGAAGAGCAGGCTCAATCTCTCTTGAAAGAGATTATCGTCACATCGGTTCTGCCACTGTGTTGTCCTCTGCTATTGTTGAGGCTTGGATTGCTTGCAACAGGTCCGTCATAGTTTGTGCTGCCCTTTGTGTTGCTTGTGTTGTCGCGGTGTCTGGTGTCACTTGTGATGAGGGGCACTGTATGAGGGTAGGTGGGGGGTGTGGGGTTGGTGGTAGGTGGGAGGTGTGGGGTTGGTGGTAGGTGGGAGGTGTGGGGTTGGTGGTAGGTGGGATGGAGAGTGGTGGGGGATGGGAGAGTTGCAGGGGATGGGAGGGTGCAGGTGAGGGATGGGTGGCTGGAGGTGTGTGATGGGAGAGTGGAGATGTGAGATGGGAGGACAGAGGTATGGGAAGGGAGAGCGTGTGTATGAAATGACGCGAGAGAAGGGAGAACTGAAGAGTGAGATAGAGAAAGGGGAACTATTGACAACGTGAGAAGAGAAAGTGGGAGCTTCCACTCGGAAAAAGAAAGAGAGAGAGAGAGAGAGAGAGAGAGAGAGAGAGAGAGAGAGAGAGAGAGAGAGAGAGAGAGAGAGAGAGAGAGAGAGAGAGAGAGAGAGAGACGTCAAATTACCGGAGGGAAGTGACCAGGTGGCGCTGCCCGGGACAGGTTCTCACTCTCAGCCATTTACTTAAGCCTGTCATTCAAGAGAGAGACCCCGGCGGGAGTCTCTCAGCGCTGCACCTTCAGCGCACCTGTCCACCCTCCTCCTGGTGTCTCCCTTGCGCCCGGGGATAAATTTCCCCGCGGCCCGGTCTCCAACCTGGTAGTCTGCTCAACAGTCTGACGCTCAACATATAAATCCGCTCATTTATTTTAGTTGAATTTATAAATTATTCTGGAGTTGTGGGAACCGACCTGTGAGATTTATATTTATTTAATTTATATGAATATATATAGAATTTATATTTACATTAATTTATATACTTCGATAGCAATTTGTATAATGATAAGTGGACTGTATTTCTGCAATAATCTCATAATCTCACAAATCGATCCTCTACACATTAGGGGGGGTTTATATTAATTAAATTTATATATATGCAGCCAATCAAACTACAGTATTAGACTACATACATTGAAGAGGTTCCTTATCTTATTTGTACAGCAGGTATAACCAGGATGTAGACACCACATTTTCCCTCTTTGAGGTAGCTTCCATCACCCTGGTAACTGATGTACAAAGCATGCTTCCTCGTCTTGACCTGTTAAAAGGGCGCTAGCTGTAAAGCCAGAATCCTATATATGACAGGTATATCAGAGAAACACTGTACATGGAACAATAAAGACCTGGCTTAATTACCTTTAGTTTGAGGCTATGTCGTGCTCTAACCGGGCACCCTATATAATGACATTAATGGCCATAAATGAAAGATACATGGGTTTCGGAAGAACACTTAACTTGATTTGTTGACAGCGTGTTGATAATGGTACACCTTTGGTTTCCATAACACTACGTCCAAGTAAAATTAACAGGAGCCGAATTTGCTCCCGTGACTCTGGTCTCAGTATAAACAATAACTAACACTTCATACTACTGACGCTACTGGCCGACATTTTCCAGATATGATAGGAGCCGAATTTGCTCCACGCGTCTCGGAGGTGACAACAACAATGGCTGACCCTCCTTCCTCACTCCTGCCTGGCTTACATTGTCCAGATGTCAATAAGTGATAGAAGGGTCACATTTACTCTACTTTAATACTGATAATTAAGTTAATTTATATGAAATGTTTTATGATGGTAAAGTCCAAAGACTAATGTATTTAAGAATAATTCCCACCATAATAGGTGGTGAATATAATAGTATGTGGTGATGATATCCCGATTTTCTTTAGACGGTAATTCCACTACAAGTTACGTTTTCTATGGGTAACTTGTTGGTAATACAGCAGCAATTATTATCTGTCTGTATGATATATTAAATGGTGTCGGATTTTCCGACAGGAGTAGTGGGTGTACCTCAGGAGTCTAGAGACGAGGGTTCGATCCCATTGTTCAGCTTCGATATTTTCTCAATTGGTTGTGTGTTTGTGAGGAGTTTTGTGGCCAGTCTCAGCCACCCACTGTCCCATAGCGAGGAATATCCAGCCCGATCTCTTGATTTGCCACAACGTAACAAATACAATGTGCTAACCTAACCAGAAACGCTCCAACCCAAACAACCCCCTTAACCTTACCCACCGACGCATAGAAAAAGCGCATATTTGCGAGCCGCCACTTTTCATTATTCGTTGTAATTTGTACGATGGTGACTGTAATGATAATACAAAAACAATCACAAATTATTATGGTAAAAATCAGTTAGATGAGTCTAACTGCCAGCGGCTGGCCTCCAGCCCCGGATGGACAGAGAGAGAGAGAGAGAGAGAGAGAGAGAGAGAGAGAGAGAGAGAGAGAGACAGACAGACAGACAGAGAGAGAGACAGACAGACAGAGAGAGACAGACAGACAGACAGACAGACAGACAGACAGACAGATAAACAATTTATTTTATAGATAATAGACTGGTAGTACCATCTGTGGCGGGTGGTTGGGTTATACAGTGACAATTCACTGTTTCCTTACCTCGTTTCCTTGTCTTCGTTCATTTCATATTTTTGTGTCGTTTCTCTCCAGGTAAAGTGGCCGATTCATCATTTAAATTTCTTCATCTTTCAGAATTATGGAAATGAATGAAAACTGAGGAGAAAATTCCCAATCACGAGAGAAAATTTAAGGTTCCGTTTAAAAGTGGAGACAAACGAGTGATGAGTGATGGTGAGGAAGTGAATAGTGAGTGTCGGGTGTTGTGAGTGCCTCCGACGTCGTCATGGTGGCCCTGGTCAGGCTGGCACCCCAGAGAGAGAGTATAGAGATGAACTAGCAGTTCCATCATTGACCCAAAGGTGGCAGGCAGCCCGGCCTATACCACTAAATAAGTTATTCTGTATTGGCACGGAATTATTAAGTGTTAACGTGATGGATGGCAGCGGAGGGTGCCTGTCGTCCTGTCACTACTCGCCTCGACGGAGAAGAAAATCCTCCTCGCTCTATACCTCCTACTCATCATCTTCTACCTCATCATCCTGGTGCCATGGGGGCGCCGAGGGTCGTGAGACGGGGGACCCGCCGCCCACCTGGGTGTACATGACAGTGTGGGTGGCCGGGGTCCTCGTCTACGTCAACGGTCTCACCGGGGACTTCGTGCATGACGACGTCAGCGCCATCAAAACAAACCCGGACGTGCTAGGAACTAACCCGCTGTCCCACGTGTTCTGCAACGACTACTGGGGCAAGCCTCTGGTCGACCCGCGCTCCCACAAGTCGTATCGACCATTCACCATTCTCACTTTCAGGTAGGTTTATCCCAGTCTCTTGTCTTCGGGACCGGTAAGTAGCGTACGAGGCTATTAGTCGATTATGAAGGATAATCGATGGGACTGAACCAGCACACCTGGACTCTCCCAGAACGCGTACTACCATATGGTCCAGTATGTAGTGCGTGTGTGTCTGGGGGAGATCGGGAAGGCCGGTTTGATCTTTCACCCTGGTGGCCCTATTCACCTAGCAGTAAGTAGGTACCTGGGAGTTAGACAGCTGCTACGTGCTGCTTTCTAGGGCTGTGTGTGTGTGTGCGCGCGTGTAAGAGTATATGTAGTAGACATAATAGAGGAAAATAGATTGGTTAGAAAGGCGGGGTCCAAGAGCTAATAGCTCGATTCTGCAGACACAAATAGTAAATAAACACACACACAACACTCTACATAGCTCTTCCAGCTTCTTCTCTTGCTCCTAGCTGTCACCCCAACATTCACTGCTCTTAGCTGTCACCACAACATTCACTGCTCTTAGCTGTCACCACAACATTCACTGCTCTTAGCTGTCACCACAACATTCACTGCTCTTAGCTGTCACCACAACATTCACTGCTCTTAACTGTCACCACAACTTTCACTGATCCTGTCACCACAACATTCACTACTCCTAGCTGTCACCACAACATTCACTGCTCCTAGCTGTCACCACAACATTCACTGCTCCTGTCACCACAACATTCACTACTCCTAGCTGTCACCACAACATTCACTGCTCCTAGCTGTCACCACAACATTCACTGTTCCTGTCACCACAACATTCACTACTCCTAGCTGTCACCACAACATTCACTGCTCCCACATGTCATCACAACATTCACTGCTCCTACATGTCACCACAACATTCACTGCTCCTACATGTCACCACAACATTCACTGCTCCTACATGTCATCACAACATTCACTGCTCCTACATGTCACCACAACATTCACTGCTCCTACATGTCACCACAACATTCACTGCTCCTACATGTCACCACAACATTCACTGTTCCTACATGTCACCACAACATTCACTGCTCCTACCAGTCACCACAACATTCACTGCTCCAACATGTCACCACAACATGCACTGCTCTTAACTGTCACCACAACATTCACTGCTCCTACATGTCACCACAACATTCACTGTTCCTAGCGGTCACATTCCCACCCTGAAGCTATGTCTTCCCCCCCCCCCCAGCGTCTTCCTGCATATCTTATATCCCAAACTTTTTTACACTTGGCATATTCTATATGACTTTTATACCAGGTCATTAAGGCCTCGCCTGCTGTTGCTCCACACACCTGCCTCCAGTGTGCACGCTGTTGCTCCACACACCTGCCTCCAGTGTGCACGCTGTTGCTCCACACACCTGCCTCCAGTGTGCACGCTGTTGCTCCACACACCTGCCTCCAGTGTGCACGCTGTTGCTCCACACACCTGCCTCCAGTGTGCACGCTCTCTGCCTCCTCAGGTCCTGTGAGGTTCACATATATTTGGTTATCTCAGTCAGCAGCTACGCAAATGATAACTACACTTGCATTCAGAATTTCAAGTCAGCAATGGTACCATATAAGAATATATCTTGTTATATAACACCGATAAAAATGTGTTAAGCGTGCATCTCATGTCTTGTTCTGTATAAACAATCATGGTATAGATTTTTTTTTACATAGTGGGTACAGGAACAGGTAACTGTTAACTACTGTTAACAGACTTAAGAGCTTTCCCTTCCCGTTGCCCTGGGTAAGTCTTACTCACTACTTTTCCCTGGAGCACGACCCGCCATTCGGCTGATTGATTGATAAAGAATAAGCTACTTAAAAGGTGGCACGGGCATGAATAGCCCGTAAGTGGTGGCCCTTTTGAGCCATTAAGAGTATCAAGAGCTGATACTGGAGATCTGAAGAGGTGCGACTGCACCCGTGGCCATTCGGCTAAACAAGTACGCAATAACTGCTGGGTGAATAGGAATGAATAGTTAAGGATTTGAGCCCAGTCAATCCTCCTTTGGTAAACTTTTATATTAGAAATCAGGAAAATAAACGCCTGATATGATTCCAACATTAACTCCACAAACATATGTCATGCAACAAACAAAAAACACTACCAAACCTAACCCAGGTCAAGCATTATATATATATATATATATATATATATATATATATATATATATATATATATATATATATATATATATATATATATATATATATATATGTCGTACCTAGTAGCCAGAATGCACTTCTCAGCCTACTATGCAAGGCCCGATTTGCCTAATAAGCCAAGTTTTCCTGAATTAATATATTTTCTCAATTATTTTTCTTATGAAATGATAAAGCTACCTATTTCATTATGTATGAGGTCAATTTTGTTTTATTGTAGTTAAAATTAACGTAGATATATGACCGAACCTAACCAACCCTACCTAACCTAACCTAACCTATTTTTATAGGTTAGGTTGGGTTAGGTAACCGAAAAAGGTAGGTTAGGTTAGGTTAGGTTAGTCGAAAAAAAACATTAATTCATGAAAACTTGGCTTATTAGGCAAATCGGGCCTTGCATAGTAGGCTGAAAAGTGCGTTCTGGCTACTAGGTACGACATATATATATATATATATATATATATATATATATATATATATATATATATATATATATATATATATATATATATATATATATATACAACTTTAGAACACTTTCCCACCAGGAGACTCGAACCCTAGCCAGCACAGAAGCCTTCCAGCAACTGGCATAACAGGTACGCCTTAACCCGCTCCACAACCCGCTCAGGAGCACAGGGTTAAGGTGGTGGAGCGGGTTAAGGCGTACCTGTTATGCCAGTTGCTGGAAGGCTTCTGTGCTGGCTAGGGTTCGAGTCTCCTGGTGGGAAAGTGTTCTAAAGTTGTATACTTAACTCTCGTGTTTAGGAGAGTTGTGCCATATATATATATATATATATATATATATATATATATATATATATATATGTATATATATATATATATATATATATATATATATATATATATATATATATATATATATATGTCGTACCTAGTAGCCAGAACGCACTTCTCAGCCTACTATGCAAAACCAGATTTGCCTATTAAGCCAAGTTTTCCTGAATTAATATATTTTCTCTAATTTTTTCTTATGAAATGATAAAGCTACCCATTTCATTATGTATGAGGTCAATTTTGTTTTATTGGAGTTAAAATTAACGTAGATATAAGACCGAACCTAACCAACCCTACCTAACCTAACCTAACCTATCTTTATAGGTTAGGTTAGGTTAGGTAGCAGAAAAAGTTAGGTTAGGTTAGGTTAGGTAGGTTAGGTAGTCGAAAAAAACATTAATTCATGAAAACTTCGCTTATTAGGCAAATTGGGCCTTGCATAGTAGGCTGAGAAGTGCGTTCTGGCTACTAGGTACGACATATATATATATATATATATATATATATATATATATATATATATATATATATATATATATATATATATATATATATATATTTATATATATATATATATATATATATATATATATATATATATATTATATATATATATATATATATATATATATATATATATATATATATATATATATATATATATATATATATATATATATATATATATATATACTCACTTCTGAACTGACATTATCACCTCTGAACCAGTACAATCTCTTCTGAGCCACAACCCGTCCTCAGACCAAGTCCATTCCATCCAGCGGTCGATCCCAAAGACGCATTCGGCAATTTTAACATGCTGTTCATTCAAAATAGAAATTTTCTCAAATATAAATTATTTTTATATGTTAGCATATTGTGCATATGTAGGCACTGGTTAGGTTAGGTGTTTAGGTTCTGTTGGCGATTATTTGTATTTGAAGTACATGGGTGAAGCATTTACAGCGTTGTGGTTCGAACAAAATTCATCAACACTTGTTCCGGAAGTGTTCGAACGTCAGCAGTTGTGAGTCGTGTGTAAACCGTTTTTCATTTATAAACACCAGGGGATTTGGCGGGTGCATGGAATCACTTTTGGGTCTTTGTTTGGAGGACGGACTGTGAGCCGGTACAGTCACCTATGAACCGGTACAGTCACCTATGAACCGATACAGTCACTTATGAACCGGTATAGTCACCTCTGAACCGGTACAGCCACCTATGAACCGATACAGTCACCTATGAACCGGTAGAGTCACCTATGAACCGGTACAGTCACCTATGAACCGGTACAGTCACCTATGAACCGATACAGTCACCTATGAACCGATACAGTCACTTATGAACCGGTACAGCCACCTATGAACCGATACAGTCACCTATGAACCGGTACAGTCACCTATGAACCGGTACAGTCACCTATGAACCGGTACAGTCACCTCTGAATGGAGCGTGCACTTGTGCTGCCGCCCCCCCCCCCTGCCACCTGCACAGGGACAGTGGAGCACACAACTGTGCCTACCCCCCCCCCTCTTAAATGCAGTACTTGTAACAACCATTTGATCAAATGTACAAAACATAGACTGTTGCAAGCAACAATGTTCACGTTACGAACTATTCATTTTGTCGAGAACATGAAAGAAAAAGTCACAAAAGCAAACGTAAACTTTTCTAGGCCTAAATATGCATTAAACTAGGCCCAGGATTATTTATTTAGGCCTAAGACAGGTTAGTTCTTCAGTTTTTTTTTCAATGTCTAAAATATGTCAATGTTTATGTAATAATACAGAATTCTGACTTTTTTTGGGGGGGACCAACAGTCCATTTTTTTGTAAGTTAACTATAAGAACAATTATTTTTGGATGATTAACTGCATAACAATGTGGAATCAATGTCAGTTAGGGTTAAATAATATTTTGTGTAAATCACAGTATTTACACAAAAGTGTCGAGTGTGTTGAGGGATATCCCAAGTGTCGAGTGTGTTGAGGGGTACCAGAAGTGTCGAGTGTGCTGAGGGTATCACAAGTGTCGAGTGTGTTGAGGGTATCCCAAGTGTCGAGTGTGTTGAGGGGTATCACAA